TCGATAAATCGATAAATTTTATTATTAAATACTTATTAGCGCCGAATTTTTATATAACAGCTATTTATACAAAGAGTAAAAACTTACGATGACATGTGTATCCCGCTGGCCTGATTTTGTTTGATCCGTAAAAAATGCATGCAAAATCGATTAAACGACGATCTCGATAAATTTTATTATTAAATACTTATTAGCGCCGAATTTTTATATAACAGCTATTTATACAAAGAGTAAAAACTTACGAACAGTTTATGACATGTGTATTCATCATCATTTCTTCGAACATCAAACATTCGCGAATTTCGAGAAGAATGATAATCAGAAAAAAGTGGAAAGCTATACGTCATTCTGCTTTCACTGTGGAACTAAATACAGGGATCGACATCCGTGCGTACATCGTAGAGTCGTAGAGGATCGCGCGATATGAACGAGAACGAAGCGTCAGAATCGTAATCGCCCGAGGCGTCATTTCTTCGGCGCGCTTATCGGTTTGCTTATCGCGGACGCTCGCGGCACGCACACGTGCAGCGATGCGCATCCGCACATGTGTTCCCGCCGATACCGACGCTCTGTTCGACTCGCGGTCCAAGAAGCCACCCACGTTAATGCTTTGTCTCCGATTACTAAATCGCGCGTTTAGTCTGCGGGAAAAAGAGAGAGAGAGAGAGAGAGAGGAGCGAAAGGAGATAAGAGGATGCAGAGATAAATTGTGGTAGGCGAAAATGGGTGAATCGAAAAGAGACTGCATTATTCGCTAGACGGAATATCGAAATAATTGCGCGACGATGCGCGACGAAACTTTGCTAGGTGAAGATAATAAATTAGTTTTTATTTTCATTTCTTTCTCGCGATGGCCTTAATGCAAGAATGAGGTTGCAGGTCCGTTAATTATTAATTGTTTCTTCAAGCGCGATCGTAATGTCATTTTTGTGACGGGAAACACGTTTCTTGTATATATATATTTTTTTAAATATAATAGAGATGATGGCCTAGTAAAAGAGGAGTCATATAATGTAACTATTTTATATTTTATAAGCATTATCACACATCAAACTGCTTATTGAAATATCAGAAATTGATATTTCAATTATTAACATTGAAGTAACTATAATTACGCTCCTTTTATTATATAATCATAAATATAATTATTACTTAACGATCTCCCATTTCGCTATAACGAGCATTCGTTCCTTCTGATTACAGAGTCCTGGAACGTTGCACAAAGATGTCGGCGGCGCTGGTACGAAGGTCAGCGAGAAAACGGTCGGTGGCGTCGGCACGGCGACCCTCACCACGCTCTCGTCCATTAATAACGCATCCAACACCGGCCGTAACAAAAACAACCCCGTATCTCACGAGGTAAGCTATACCAACGCGACTGTGGAAGGGACGAGATCCACGCGTATATTGATCATAGCCGAGCGATACGTCATCTCGGGCCTCGCAGATGACTGCGATAATTAACCAGTCCTGCGCATGAATTTATTGCCCATTAATCCGTTCGCATTCACCGGGCGTGCGTGCTGAAGGAATCGGCTCGTCCCTTCCGCTTCGCGATATCTATACGCCTGTACTTCTCTGTATGTGTGTGTGTATTCGTACACAGGCACATGACATTATTCAGTGCATGACTTATTGGATGCAGTATAAAGTACCGTTTACAGTTTAGTTCTACTTTTCTGTCCCTGTCTCGCTCTCAGGCCGCATAAAAGGAGACCTGTACCCGCACCAGTCGCACAATAAAAAAAAAACGTAACCGCGAGAAAGCGTGGTTCGAAATTTTTATCAACCCTGATATATTTTGCGACAAAAGTTTAGTATTTATTTGAGATTAATTACAGAGAAACAACGAACGAGACTTTTACTACTATTCTACTTTACGTCTTTATTCGAGAGCGTGCGCGACACGAAAGCGCGGGATAAAGGAGACTTCTCGTCGATGACGCGATCAGGGATCGTTTGCACGCGTCCAGACTATTATCATCGTCGGGCGACAATGTGTACGCGGGCCGCGCACGTAAGATTTTATTGGCCATTGTGTTAACGAGGAAAATTACGCGCTCGCGCATGCGAGTGTCCGCATAAATTTATAAGAATCGCGCCCGTATCGATGGCGGCGATCGCGACGAAACCTGCGGCGTGATACCCCCGCCGCAATTTTTCTTAACGGTTTTATCTGGGATTTACGAAGCAAGAGAGAAAGAACGAGAGAGAAAAAGAGAGAGAATGCGGACTCACCCGCGACGCTACTCAAACGGAACTAATTGAAAATTGTTGCCCTCGGCTACCTGTTAGGTCGCGATAAATCGTGTCCCTGAACGTGGCACGGACGTTACAATCGTCTTGTTCCCCATTGCGGTTTCGGTTAAATCCGTCGCTGAAACGTCATGAAACGGCACTCAATTTCTTGCGCTCGATTTCGTCGTCCTTTGGGGCGCGAAATGGTCGCAATAAGATCGCAGTCGCTGTAAATGTTTCCGTATATATCGTCGTATATCTCGTGTACGGACGGTGGATGCAATTAAAAATATTTTGTCTAATTTAGAACACAGATATCGTAACGATTATAAAAATCGAAAACGAATGAAAAATTACGATTTAATTTTTTTTCCCCACGTTGGACGCTTCTCCTTTTGATTAATTCAGTTTAATTTATAAATTAATGTTCCTTTTCGTATGTAAAAACCTGCGCTTGTTAATATCGCAACCTTGGGCGATATCGTCGCCGTGTCTGCAGTTGCCGGTCGAAGCAGAAAATTAATCGTCTCGCGCCAAACACACTCGTTAAGATATACAAAGAGGTACCTTTCTAGTTGCCCGCGGCCGATGCCGTCACCGCGGTTAATTTGTTCGTCCGAACTGTCATTACGGCCCGTCGCGGCCTCGATTCCGCCGCTGTATCATTTCTTGCACCTCTGTGACACGGAATCGCCACGTCATCGTCGTTTGTCTCTTTAATGCCTACCCGCGTTTTTTCTCCCTTTTTTTCGCGGCTCTCCATTACATTACCGAGACGATCGGATTTCGTTGCGTTCGCGCGTTACGCAATTATATATGCGACCGCGATCCCTCATGCGCGTCGCGGTTTTGAAGAATAGTTCGCGCACACACATACATACAAAAGAGTCAACCCGCGTACAAACACGTACATATGTACGCGCGATTAAAGAACTTTTTATCACGCGGTTTACAACCGTAGCGCGCTTTGTGTCTACCTGCATTTCTCGAAGAGATAGACACAAGCATATTACACATGTACAGGCGCGGTTCACCGTTACTCTTACTCGATACGAGTGTATTACGCCGCGATTTATCGAGCTCTCGGACTAATTCATACGTGAATTTAGAAAGTCCGGCGCGAGATTTGTGGCTAATTGTTGTACAGCGTTTGTGCAACCGTGACGGGCGCGAAAGCCAACGCTCGACTCCTTCGGTTGCTGTCATTTTGTAAAACGAAAGCGTTAGTCAGCTTAAGCCCGAGGCACCGATTTACGGGCTCCTCCATTCGTCGTTGCACTTACTTGAGAGAGTAATTATTATGCAGTTTTTGCCTTCATTGATTTTCTCTAATTTTCTCTAATAATCTTTTCTTAGTCACGATATATCAAAATTATTTCTACTTATGTCAATGTTTTTTATTTGACGATGTAGTCTTTACTATAATAAGTATAATATAAGTGGAATAAGTGAATAAGTTGAATAGTGTTAGTATCCGCGTTCAATAGTAACAACGGTGCCCGGATATTTGACATATAATAGATATTGATCGTTGGGGTCTTTACAAGGATAGGTCGATTATGAAAGCTCTTTAGGCGAACCTGGGGGGTGTCTTCGGCATAAATGGTTTGTACAGAGACCGGTGCCCTTTCCGGAATGAGACGTGACTCATGTCTCTTCGAGACGTCGGCATGGCGTAACAAAGATACAGGCGTGCTACTCACAATGTATATTCTGAATGTTACAAAGACCGGCTGATCGAAAAGAAGGTGGTTCGTCTCTATTAATTTTGGATTAAAAATTTTGAAATTTATAATTTTTTAATTTAATTTCGTAATTTTCAATTATTTTTTAAATCTGATTTCTATTTTTATATATATATAATGCTCGTCTATCTCTCTATTTTTTACAAAATTATTTTATGCAATCTTTACGTTCAGAAAAAAAATCACATAATCAGTATCTAATATATATATATGATGTGCAATCCAATTAATATCAAATATCTTGCGCATTATAAGGACTTATATAAGGATGCTATGATATTCGTGATGATTTATACGTAACTCGTTGGATAGATTTACATGTCTCGGGAGATTTTATGCGAGACATACCGTGGTCGTCACAATCATTCGAAGCAATCGAACATATAAATCCATTCTGTTTCGATCGGATGACGCAGTTTGTATGAGAAAAAGATATGAAGTATTATCTACGAAAAATTTAATTTAAACGAATTTAATTATTCATGCGCTCATGAACAATTTAATTCGAATACGCTAACTCATGTTTTGCATAAATGTGTATTTTTTAAAATCCTCGAGAGAGCGTGTATAGAAATGCAAAGAAATGTTCGAACCATGTGTTATGTAATTGTATGCGATTTGCTCCAGGACAAAGTTTGTATACCAATGATTGTTACGGATTCCTCGTTGACATGCATCTGTATACATCATCGATATGTATCGTTACACCACCGATTGTTCTAATCAAAATTACAGTGTCCGATTACGAATGGTGACTCTGTTATGTCTATCTTTGTACTCGCGATAATATATATAAAAATAAATTTCGTCGCGTCGTGTGCTAATTCGCGCTTATATTCATTACGGTCTGAATAATCAAAGCTGAATGTCGAACGCCGAATCGTAGCTGAATATTGATGAGATGAGTTTTTCCTGCTGCGTTATATGTGGCTAGCAATTCACAAAATTATTCAATTTCATGAATTATTTAATTCCGAGAGAGAATTTTCTATCTCGCGCACTTTGCATATTTTCATTATTAATTTTATATCGTTTTTACGTAACGAGTGATAATCAATTGTTGATGTATGTTTTATTTCGCCATTTTGTTTTATTGTAACGCTTAATTATTTCGCGTGGAAATTGCAAAATTGCATTTTAAGCCAACGAGGTATTTGTGGGATTTCGGGCGACACCGGAATTGCAGTAATTGGAAATACAGGTGACTGCTCCACCCACTAATTAAATTCGCCGAGTACATTAGGCGACGCGCGCTCTCTCTGACGTAGGAGACGACGGTCGATTGTTTGCGATTTGACTGCATTCGAATGCGACATATCAAGGATTCAGTACGTACGTTAATAGAGTTACGGTTGCGTTTGCAACACAATAACGCGCCGCCAAAGTACGCACGAGAACGTCACGCGACCATAAGAAGCTTCAGTATAATCGTTGCGCACAAGGCACTGTAACCCGATCGCTTCGCATTGTATCTCGGATTTCGCGATAACATAAATACGCTACCTGCGGGCTACCCCCACGAGCTAACGATCCTGGTGACAAAAGTAACACAACGCCGAGATTAGCAACCGAGCTAACAATCAGGCGTTTTTCTGCCTAGCTTTATGGGAGAGGAACACAATGTGTCTCTCAAGTCAACATGTCTCCGTAATTCCATTGAGATGTAAGGGCGTCGATATTGACGTTGAAAAATATGACGTAATTGTAGGTTCCGTCACCCGATTTATTATTTTATTTTATGATTATTATTGCGATTTTAATACTTGAAATAATTTTATTAAACGATGACATATATATATATTTCTTAATGGAATTGCAATCGCACACTTTAATGAGAAACTGCACGTCAAAAGTTAATAAATCTGATACATTTCGTGCTTCATGGATTTGACAATATGCAAAGCATTTTTAGAATCTTTTAAAATATAAAATTGATTGATTAAATTATGAGTTGAATTATTAATTTTATATTTTAAAAGATCAAAAGTGTAGCTTTGCGTGTGCAATGTCAAGTTCATGAATCTCGAAAATGTATTAAATTTATTAACTTTTGACATAGCTGATCTATCTAGTTCCTTCTTAAATGCGACTTGTTGAAGTGGGACACCCGCGTGTCGCGTATTCTTTGAGAGAAACTGCACGGCTTGTTTATCCTCTTGTCTCTAAATCATTGTTACGTAACACATGTAACGCATGTATCCTATTGTTAATATAATATTCTCATCTTCGTCCTACAATTTTCTCACGCGCGATGAATGACCGTCGACGAAATAAATATAAAGATTCGCAATCAAGCAAGAATTGAGACACGATGCCGTATTTAATAATCGTACTCGCGCTTGTTAAGCAAGAGACAATGCGACGCCTTCATGACAC